TCTTCATTCAGGTTCCTCCTATGCTTAAAATTTATTTTCCTTTCTCCTTGAGAATCCTCTTTAAAAACATCTTGGTTTGTGAACACTCATGAGTTTTCCTTCTTGCTGTAGCAGTGTTCTGGTGAGGGCTTTGTTTTCCCTTTACAACACGGATAAAGAGAATTTTGTTTTCCCCTTGTGAAACCTCAGATAACACTTGGAGCTTCTGTGTTCCCTGGGTGTGTTGCCCATAAAATACAGGTACAAATACATGTCAGTGGTGGTGTGGCAATTATTCAGGATTATGAATCACACTGAAAAATACTATTGCAAAGCTGAGCCTGATGCTGTTAGTCATTCTGCAATAGCAAAGGGAATTATGGGCTCGGTGGAGGAGAAATGCAAGTTAGTGCAGAGTCAGTCTCTTTCTGCTTCTGACATGTGGAAAACATCTTCAAACATCTTTCTTTTTCACTGTTCTTAGCAAAGTGAGCAGCTTCTGAAAGGGTTAAAGATTTGCCATAACCTTCACTTTCCCCTCTGTTCTTGTCATTTATGAGAATTAATGAAGATATTAAATAAATCTGATGTTTCCTTTTTCTGTTTCCACTAATTAGGCCCAGTCAATCAACAGAATATCCACATTTTCCCAGCTGGTTTAGAGTCAAAAGATATCTGAATCTGGACTTGTTTTTTCATGTCACATCCAGAGCTTTGGAAGAGTGTTTTGGCTGGCTTCCCCACAGGCACAGCTCCCATTCCCAGAGTTCTCTCCAAAGCATTAAGAATGGAAATAAGCAGCTCAGAATTTTCCAGTTTAGCTCAGGCCCTGTGTACGTTAAGAGAAACAGAAGCCCAACCACAAGTACAGCAAAACCCTTCATGTGGCCAGGGAGCTGAGCTTCAGCTGGGGAAACTGCCACAAACTGGTCCATGCTGGGCTCACACGCTGCAGCCCACGTTTGTCCTGCTGGGGGGGGACAGTGTCTGAGGCATGAGACCACCAGGGAGCTTCTCCACATGAAGAAGATCTGCCTGATGGCCTAAAATCAGAGGCAGCTTCAGGAATCTCTCAGTGATTTACTCTGAAATACTCTTGCTTGTAGGAAACCATCAAAGCCACTGTGATAGAGAGAAATACTTTCATTTTCTCTCTGTTCCTCAGGCTGATTCCTTGGCTTGGTTTGTGGAAGCTGCTTCAATGAGTGACTGAAATAAGCCACACACACACATATATCTGTATATGAAGTGTCTATTTTTTGGGTGCTTTTCTCCTGCCAAATGATAGAGAGGTGCTCCAGAGCATCTATTCTTTTGGAAGAAAGAATTCCTAGGATAATACTGTCTTACGGAAAATATGATCTGCAAAAAATCCTGAGCAGAGCAGGGATGAGGAAAATAAAATCAATTCCTGATGTCTCTTTGAGGGTTACAGTCCAGCTCTTATGAAACTTAGTGGGAAACTTTCCTGCTCTTGTAATGAGAGCTGGGGTGGTCTTTGGGGCATCACCAAAATAAAGCAGAGCTACAACTGGTAGTAGGCACAGACAGATAAAACCAAAACATGTAAAAAATTTTATTAGAGACAAGAGGTTGAATTGTGGCAAAGATGTCGAGTTCGCTGAGGATAAAAATAATCAGATTTAATTATTCTTCTTTTTCTAATCTTGAACTGGTGGAATCCCACAGACACTGTTCCATTCAGAAAACAAGCAATAGTGTGGAAGTTACAGAGCTCCTTCATATCAGAGCTCTGAACAGGCAGGAGTCTTGACTTGAAGCACTGAGCCCCAGTTCCTAGAAGTACTGAGTCTCATAGGCACTGGATTTGCTTTTGCTAGCAAATTTTCCTTCCTGTGTTTTACCCATTTTTCAGGTTTTCCTAGAAAAAGTGCACATTTCCAGGTAATTAATACTAATTGAAAATCATGTTTTCATAGAATGTGACATCCCTATCTTAAACATCTCACTGAAATGCAATTATCCTTTTGACTACAGTCTTTAAAACTCAGAGCATCTGAGCCTACATTCCATTTTCAATGTCCTATGAAATTTGTAGCATTAAAAGTCTCAACACCTTGGCTTGTTTTTAAAAGGTGATATTAAATATGGGAATATATTCCCTTATGCACTTCTTCCCTAGCATATAAAATGATCATTCCCCTTAAATAGTAACACAGTGCCCTGCAATGCTGAGCACTGCTGGAATGGCTCTACAGTAAAATTAAGCTTCAAATTTTAATCTTTCTCAGAGCCACATCCTGTTTTCAGTTAACTGATCTCATATGGGGGAAATTTACCACAGGAAATCTCTCTAGTTTGGAAAGTACCAAAACCTTATCTTTAGTTTCTTTGTGTAATTCAGCACCTTTGGAGACAGAGGTGTAACAGAATCACAAAAACTTTCAAGAAGTCTCAAAGCAAGAGGAAAAGAGTGAGTTAAGGGCACAGGGAGAGGTGGAGCTGCCACTTCATCCCTGAACCTGACCCTGTGGTGTAACACTGATCATTCTAAAATTAGCATCTTACACCTCTTTATAGCCCCAAAGTTTGAAAAACCACATCTAGAATTCTTTCCTTTTCCGAAAGAGATTTTAACTCCCACCCTGGCAGAAACTGCCCAGGCCAGATTAATTTGTGATGAATTTTAACAACCCAAATGAGGCCAAATGGGTCAGGCCAAGGCCTCACTGGGGCTGTGTCACACTTTGCCCATAGCTTTGAGTTAACAGCCAGCCCTGGTGACTCTGAACTGCACATCTACATCACATCAGCAGCTCCAGGTCAGCACAGAGGGGAGGGAAGTGTCTGTTGTGGCTGTGCCAGACTTGGGCAAACACCCTGAGCACGAATCCCTCGGCAGGCAGCACGGGCAGGACAGCAATGCACAGCCACTGAAACACCCACAGAAATCACCTCTGCTTTTCACTGTGAATTCTGGGCAGGGCCTCACCCCCAGGGATGCTCCCCACAGGGAACAGTGAACAGATTTGCATGTACAACTCTTTTTCTGACTGAATCCTCTGTCAGAACTAGAGAGGGCGGCAGGGAAGGGAGCCGTGTCAGGGGTGAAAAGGTCCATTATTCTGCTGATAATGAAACTTTGCTTTGTAGAATCTTTACTGCACTCTAAGAAGGCTTTGCAGACAACTCCTGTGTTGCCCTGCTGTGCTAGCCAGGCTGCGTTGGAGGGTGAGGCAGAGCGGGGTTTCCCCGGCGAGCTTTCCCGGAGGCTCCAGAGGCTCCAGGCTCCATCCCGGACCTGGCACGGGCTGTCCCGAGTTCCTCCATCCCGAGGCCGTGCGGGGCAGGTCGCGCTGTGACCGCGCTCTGGGCAGCCAGGACTTTCTCTCCGAGTCCCCATGGCTCACCCGGCAGCCCTGCGCTTTCAGGAACCAGCCGCCAGATTCTCCATGTCAGCCGGCCCGGGGGAATTTGCCTCGGGGGGCCTTTCCTCAGCCAATTCCCCGCGCCGCTCCCCGAGCAGGGGAAGCCCCGCTCCCGCCGGCGCCGGGGCGCGGCTCGGGCTCCCCGCTCCTCCCGGCCGGAGCGAGGCAGCATCGCCCAGTCCGGCCCCGCCGCCCGGCCGCGGCTCCGGTACCCGCGGAGCGCCCGCCCGGGGCCGGCGGGCTCAGGTACCGGAGAGGCGGGGATGCAGGGAGGGATGGGCGGCAGCGGCAGGGACGGAGGGAGGGAGGGATGGAGAGGAGCGGGAGGGATGCAGGGGAGCGGCAGGGACGGAGGGAGGGAGGGATGGAGAGGAGCGGG